TTGTTGTCTTTGGCGCTCTTCCTTCGACAATTGGCGCAGCTCTCTCCTTAGCTCGGCTCTGCTCTTTCGATCTTTGGCCTTTAGAATCTTCGCATTGAGAACCTGGACAACGAAAGAGAATGCCATGCAGTTCATGAAAAACAATAGGAATGAAAGACTTACACTAATCTCCTTTCTGATGTCCTTGGCTAACGAGCTGTTGTCGGTTTTGAGTACCTGCAAGAATCCCCTTTTGAGAAAGCTTGACGAAAACTGAAAATGCTTGCCTGAGCATCCAGTGCACAGTCAAGAACTTGCGGCAAAAGACGAGCTGGATGTCCCAAGCGCACAACCTTCACCCTGCGTATAAAATTCAAAAAACAATGACGCATGCAAATTATACAGACTTGTGGCAGGCGAGTCTTTCCACCATGTTGTCCACGGCAATGTTCGAAGAAGCGCAAGCAAGAACTTTGAGCCCCCGCTTAACCTCCTGCAAAATAATTTCGACCACTGCCGTCGTCTTCCCAGTTCCAGGCGGACCATGAAGTAGCATCACATCTTGTGCGCTTAGAGCCATTTTGACAGCTTTAACCTGATACGATGCAGATCATTTCTCAAGCAAACTAATGGACAACAACGCTCACCTGAGACTCGTCAAGCTCTGTGTTGTAAGGTTCATACGTGGCATGTGTCTTGGAAAACGAGGGAGGCTTCTCGCCGAAAAGCACAGGAACCAGATCAGTTGCTGGACCTCTTGAAACACCCTTGCCAAGGTCCAACAATGTACTTTTAAGTCTTTGATAGGTGACCTGAACCAAGGCCATTGTATCATCAGCTTCGTGACTAGAGTACCAACCTCATTCGCGACTTTCTCCAGCCTAAGAAGCGAATTAACGCCTTCGTCTGGAACATCATCCATAGCAACCGTGATAGACTTATCCTACCACCAAAAGACAAGCGAAAACATCAGGAAGCCACAAATCACAATCCAGCCACACCTTTATGCGGTAGACAACACCTTGACCCAGCGATTCAGCTGCCGAGCCTCCCTTGTTTGGCTTTAAAAGCACAACATCGTGTGTAGACAGCTGCCAACCAAGAACAATGAAGAAAATGATGCACTTAAACACCACAAGAACGTAAAGAAATGTACCTTGTGAGACGGAAGAAGCTCTCCAGAATTCGGTTGCAAGAGAAGCAAAGACTTTCCCAGCAATCCTGCCTGACGAATCGAGAAAAAAAAAAATGAAGCAGCTGCAAAGTGTACAAGCCACTCACCTCGACACCAACACACTTTAATCCTTTCACAGCCGAGCCACGCTGCTGTAGAACGTCAGGGTTCGTCATTCCAATTGTTTCGGTAGACGCAGCAATCTCCGCCTCCTACACACGAATCCATCCACAAAATCACTCGAAATATCGCTGAGGAATCCACACACTCACCTTCTCCAGCTCGAGAAGAGGCAGCATCTTGCTCACAAAGCTCTCCAGAGTCACCTTGGGAGCTGGTTTCGCCGGCTTCTTCATCTTGGTAGCAGCAGCCGATGGAGACCCCGCTGACGCCATTGCGAGAGCGCGCCTCGATGGATCAGCCGCTCCCGCCTGGAAACCCTGGAAACCCTGGAAGGGAGACGAGCAAAGCGACGGCATTCTTCTCTTCCATCATCCCTCACCTCTGTTCTAGGGCAGACAGAGGAATTTATATACTCTGCCTAGCTTAGCAAACGGCCTCGCGTTCCCACTGGCCCCCATTGTTTGGTAAATCTTTAGCAAACACTAGCTCAGTGTTTGGTAAATCTTCCCAATTGCGAATGAATTGTCATTCTCTCGCTCAAGCGCATCCAATCCACTCGCAGCTCCTTGAGTTCTCGCAATTGGATCGATCCAGCGACGGTATCCTCCACTCCAATCGGCTGATCGAGATGTATGGGCGCTGTGGCAGCCTGGATCAAGCCAAGCGTGTTTTCGATTCTATCTCCAGCAAGAACAGATTCTCCTGGGTGATTTTCCTGTGTGCTTGCTCCGAAAATGGCAATCTCGATCTTGCCAAGCTAGTTTTTGATTCTATTCCAGAACCAGCGATGAGCATCGTCGCTTGCAACGCCATGATCACGGCTTACATGCGCTGTGGGTATCTCCGCGAGGCGCAAGGGGTTTTTAATTCTATGCCTCATTGGAACACGATTTCCTGGACCTCGATGATCTATGGACTTGGAAAGGCTGGATTTCTAGAAGAAGCAAAACGGATGTTCTATAGAATGCCAGAGCCCAATCTAATCTCATGGAATTCTCTCTTAGCAGCATTTGCCGAGGCAGGGCATGTTGTGGCTGTAGCAAATGCTTTTGATTTGATGCCAATGCGAAGCATTGTCTCTTGGAACACACACCTAGTAGTAGCACTACAAACTAAGAATGTAACAATGGTAGATATTGTGTTTGGATCCATGCCAGAGTGGAACTTGCGAAGTTGGAACATAGTTCTCGCAGCAAATGCCCAAGAAGGACACCTTGACATTGTAAAGTCTCTCTTTGATTCGATGGAGAGCCGAGATCTCATCTCCTGGACCACGATTCTCACTGGATTTTCCCAAATCGGGAGGCTAGACGAAGCCAAGAATCTCTTCTTGCGAATGCCGGAGCGCAATCTCTTCTCGTGGACTGCTCTAATCACCGCATTTGGCCTGGAAGGCCGGATCGAGGAAGCCCGATCGCTCTTCGATCAGATCCCCCAGCACAGCATTGTTTCCTGGAACTCGATCCTTGCAGCGCACGCGAAAGCTCTAGACGCTGATCATGCCGGGGAGATCTTCGATTGCATGCCCGAGCACGACCTTATCTCGTGGAATTCCATCCTTTCGCTACTCGCATCCATCGGCTGCCTCGATCAATCGCGGGCTTTGTTCGATTCCATGCCCATCAAGAGCCTCGTGTCGTGGAACGCGATCCTCACAGCCCACGCTCGATCGGGCGATCTCCTGGTGGCAATGGAGCACTTCTTCGATCGAATGCCGGAGCGCGATGGATTCTCCTGGAGCACAATGCTCTCCGCCCACAGGTCCCATCCCAGTGATCACGATGGCCCAAATCACTACGCCCGCGCTCGCGATCTCTTCCACCAGATGCTCCTCACAGACCTTCCCGACGCGGTGTGCTTCGTCTCCGTGCTCGCGTCGTGCAGCCACACGGGATCTCCGGCCGCTGCCCGCCAGTTCTTTGTCTCCGCGGCGATGGATTACCAGATCAAGCCATCGAAACAGCACTACTGCTGCGTGATTGACTCTCTCGCTCGATCGGGCTATGCGATCGAAGCCCGCGAGCTCCTCTCAACGATGCCATACAGTGTTTCCTCCATGGATGCCGTCATCCTCCTTGGCGCTGTGCCGGACGTACGTACCCTGGGAACTGTTTGTACGAGTAGCATAAGATAAGCCTGACTGATGTTAAGCTCCCTTAGCTCAGGTGGTCAGAGCGTTGGTCTTATGAGCCGAAGGTCGCGAGTTCGAACCTCGCTAGGAGTAGCTCCTCGGAGATATAAGCTTTCACAGCTTGTTTTCTAAACTAACCGGAAAGGAATGGATCTTTTCTCTTGTCACTTACGAACAAGATCTAGCCAGAAAGAAATGGATCTTTTAAATAAGTTCTTAAGTGACAAGAACAAGTTCTAGCCAGATGGTGGTTTCATAGTTAATAAGAGTTACTTGTACTCAACTAAGAAGCACCAAATGCAGGAAATATAATGCAGGAAATATATTGTACATTGAGTATATAATAAAACATTGTTTGTTATATATATGATGCGAAACTTCATACAATCATCGCATGTATATGTTACACTCTCTCATGTTTTGTGGTAAATTTGTATGGTGCAACTTCTTACCCCTGTTTACCTTTTGAGGTAATACATTTTATAAAAACATTTTTTATGCTAATGCAAATAGCATATGTTGCTCATTTTGTACTTGATTTTTTTATGCTTGGTGAATTGGTTATTATGATTTATATTTTCTACATCTTTTATTTTAATTGAAAATACTTCAAAATTTGCTAATCTGGGCTGAATAGTTTTGGAGCCCCTGACCTGGACGTCGGCCACCTTCTGGCCCAGCTCTCCCGTTTTCTCTACGAGTAAGTTTGATTGCTTTCGTTTTGTATTTCTAAAACTTTGTTTGTGTACAATCGCAAGGCTTCGAAAAGCTATACGATCACAGGGACTGCACATTTGAGGCGCTCACTGTGCATGTCTGGGCGTACGGCAGTTTAACATGCAAGCCTGATCTCTGGACTCTCCAGACATTGCTCGGCATTTAGGTGCAATTTCACTACGAGCAGATGATGTGTCCAGACACATGCAGCCGGATTTCAAGAAGTTGTTCAACCTGAACTATCCTATGCTGACCGCATCTTGTTCCAGGGCAAGTTAAATTCCTTAAATTCCCTCATGTTGACCATCCTAAAGCTTCAATGGTTTAGTTGTGAAATTCTTGTACGGAGCATGAGCTGCTCCGAAATGATCTCCAGTTTGGAATCACTCAGATGCCTGTTGGCAAATCCACATATCAAAACCAGCACAATCTAAAAGCTTCTCTTACCTCTGCAAACGCCTCAAACACAATCTATGTTCTTTCACTTCTTCCTCCATGTCACTGCAGTAGCCTCCATTGGCATTGTTTTCGCGACCTTGAGGGCTTCTTCTGCTCGTCCCAGGAGATCGATGAGGCAGTGGTAGTGATCAATCCTGGGAGCGAGACCAAATCTCCCTTCCATGTCCGAGAAGTAGCGCTTGCCTCTGTGGACCCGGTGTGAACTCTCTGTATCAGATAAGCTTGATTAATGTCAAGCTCCCTTAGCTCAGCTGGTCAGAGTGTTGGTCTTATGAGCTTGAAGGTCGCGAGTCCGAGCCTCGCTATAGGAGCACCTCTTCAGAGATCTACAGGCTTTCACAGCTTGATCGTTTTGTTTTCTCCAGATGAAACTACAAATGGTCGAAGTTGGCGATAGACATTGGCCATGAGGACGTAAGCTCCCGCCTGGTTCTCGTCCAAAACCACCAGTGCCTCAAATGCAATCTTCGCAACTTCTATGTTCTTCCACTTCTCACACGCGACCAACACGATCGTCCATGTCACTGAAGTAGCCTCCATTGGCATCGTCTTCGCGACCTTGAGTGCTTCTTCCAGCAAGTTTGCTCGTCCCAGGAGATCGATGAGGCAGTGGTAGTGATCAATCCTGGGAGTGAGACCAAATCTCTCTTTCATGTCGGAGAAGTAGCGCTTGCCTCTGTGGACGAGCCCGGCGTGGCTGCAAGCCGTGAGAACTGTCACTAGAGTTATCTCGTTTGGATTCACGCCTTGGTCGACCATCCCAACGAAGAGGTCGAGAACTGCCATTGCTTCGCCTTGGTGACAGTATCCGGCCATGAGCGACGTCCAACTCGCAACGTCGAGCGCTGGAATGCAGTCGAAAACTTGGCGAGCTCGGACCATGCTTCCGGACTTCCCGTAGAAGTCGACCAGACTGTTCCCAGCAGTGAGTGTTGTTTCCAGGCCGAACTTGCAGATTTCTCCGTGGATCACTCTTCCAGTTCCTACAGCCGAGATGCTGCCACACGCCTTGAGGGCTGCCACGAATGTATGAGCGTTTGGACGGCAACCTTGACTTTGCATTCGAGCAAAGATCTCAAGAGCTCGGTTGCCTTCTCCAGCGTCGGCATAGCCGAGGATCAGAGCTGTCCACGAGATTATATCCGGAGGAGAAGCCATCGCCTCCAAACTCCTCAGAGCGTCCACCATGCTTCCACACTTGGAGTACATGTCGATCAGGCTGTTCGCTACGAAAGTTTCCGTGTGATGCTGCTTGCCGCTGCTCGCTGCCTGGGAGTGAATCGCCATTCCTTTCTCCAAAGCCGTCACCTTGACGACTTTCCCGTCGATCTCTTTGCCAACTTCAGCCTCCGCGAGACAGACGACGGCCTTGAGAGCAGCCACGAACGTCTGGGAGTTTGAAGCACAGCCCTGTTGTTGGACCCGAGCGTAAACTTCCAAAGCGATCTCCTCCTGCCCGTTGTGTGCATACCCCCAGACAAGAGCAGTCCACGAGACAACGTCGTGACGGCTCATGCTGTCAAAAACTCGTTGCGAATCCACCATGGTTCCACACTTTGCATAGAAATCCACCAAGCAGCTCATCAGGAAAATGTCTGCTGCCGTCATATACCCGAGCCTTGCTGCTGCCGAGTGCACTGCCATTCCTTTCTCTAGCGACACAGCCTTGAGGAACTTGTTAGCATCGCTGCGGTCGAGCCTGTGCTTGTCTGTGACTTCTTCTTTTGCTGCTATGCTTGTGCAAGCCTTCACGGCCGCTAAGAAAATCGTCCGGGTCGAATAACTCTGAGAAGAAGAGCTCGCATCGAAGAAGGCACTCGCTTGCTCGAAAATCTCTAGAGCGATATCGCCGTCACCATTGTGTGCATAGCCTGAGATAAGAGCAGTCCACAGCACCAAGTCACTGTAGCTGCGATCGTCCACTCGATCGAAAACCCAGCGAGCAGTCACCATGCTTCCACACTTCGCGTAAAAGTCCACCAAGCTACATGCTACGAAACCATCCGTGTCCACTCCGACCAGCCGAGCTCGAGCATGGATGGCCATGCCTTTCTCCAGACAAGCCATTCGATCCTCGCGAACTTTTCCTTCCTTCTTCTCGTTGATCATGCTGCTACAAGCTCTGATCGCAGCCACGAAAGTCTGGGAATTCGGAGCCTGCGGATAAGAAGGATCCTCCGCCTTGGCACGCTGCATTTCAACAAAGAGCTCGAGCGCAACCCCCCCTTGCCCGTTCTGTGCGTAGCCAAGAATGATGGAGCTCCAAGAAACCACGTCACGGTGGAGAATCCCATCAAACACAGCCCTAGCCTCCTCCATTCTCCCGCATTTGGCATACATATCGATGAGCGAGCTCGCCACGAAAACGCTGGAATCCAGCCCGCCATGGATGGCTTCCAGATGCGCCTGGCGGCCGCGCTCGATGTCTCTGGCTCTGCTCGCGGCCTTCAATGCCGCCAGCAGCGCCGCCGCATTGCCGCGGCGGCTAGATTTCCAGTGACTGACCTCGTTTCGATTGCCCGCGCCCTGGCCCTGGCGCTGGAATCCACCGCCATCGCTCACATTGCAACGCAAATCCAGTGTCCCTCTGTTTTTAGGGCACGCGCCCTAACCCAAATAAGAGCCCTAATGTTTAAAATTTTAAACTTGGGGGCGCGGCAAATGCATCGTCCTCGCTCGTAGAAAGCTTTTGACAATCGCGAATTGATGAGGAGGAATCCATCGATTCCGCAATGATGGGTGAGCTAATCTAGACATATTTCTTTTCTCCTCATGGTGCTGGCGATGGAAGCAAGCAATCAAAAGCGGCCAAGCGAAATCAAACAATCATACCAAAAGCAATGCTTAGCGCCACGAAGAACACCATGAAACCATCAAAAAACAAGCATACACAACCCAGACAAAATCTTTTCTCCACAGGTACGGTGTGGACCTCGGAAGAAATTCGCAAGGATTGTTTGACATTGTTTGTCAAAACCCATGGAGATGAGATTTGTTTAAGAGTTTTCTTTGAGAACGATGAGCGCCAGGCCAGCCAGCAGGCCACGGACAGCTACCTACGTAAGGACTCCTCGCACAAATTCTCGGATTCTTTGATAGAACACCCACGAAACACACAGAGCTTTGTTTTAGCTCATGCGATTGATCGATCGGTGACTAGAAAACAATTTCTTCTCCTGTTTGCAACATGTCCACGTCCCTAGAGGTCTGCTCCACGCTGCTCGTTGCAGCAAGGATCTACAGTAGCTTAGCGAGAGAAAGAAAGCTTTCTTTCGTTGGCTGCCCGTCCCTGTCCGCAAATGTTCTAAAGTTTCTTTGGACACATTAGCCTAGAGAGTGCGAAGAACAAAAAGTGAAGTTAGCCAAGAATCGTGCTGGTATGTTCCCGAAGCCTGCAAAGGTTTTGGAAATTGTCCCTGGAAGCGTTTGCAGGAAGTTCCAGTAGGTGGACTCATAAGGGAACGCTACAAAAGGACCAATGGATTGACGAACAATCGATTTGATGGACGGAAGAACAACTCATGTTGGTTGGGGGCGTAGCGTCGAAGAGAAAAGTGGTAAGTACTTACTCATCCCCAGTCGAATCGATCCAAACTTCACGTTTTTGCGACTCCCCGGCTGTTGGGCGATGGATTTTCTTAATGTTACTTTTTCCTTGTTCATAACGTGACACGACATTTCGTGATTTTCCTTGATCTTGTGGCAAAAATGTGCGACTTTGATCGATCGCTTGGTGGGTTTTGATGGGTTTTCTCTCAGCTATAATGGGTTCCAGCTATTTTTTTTGCGGATCAAGTTCTCGAGTTGGAATGATCGATCCAAACCACCACTGTATATAGTGCTCTGTATTTGGCCGGAAGTTCTTCCTTTTGTCTCATCAGGTGGGAATGCGTAGCCCATCCCGCGGCGAAGAAACTTCCCACATTTGGTCCGCGCGGGTTGGCCCCCGCCCACAAATCTCATGATTTCGCTGGCCATGAACAGTTGAACTTGTGACTGTGAGGAAAAAACTAATTGGGGGAGAAGTTTGCTCGATTTCCCAAATGGGTAGCAGCTAATCCTGCTCCAATCCGTGTTTGTCCCCCACCCATGAAGAAACAATCCTGGAATCTGCGAGGAACTGATCGCAATTTGGCAAGAAAAAGAAAGATCCCAAAGGAAAGTTCACTAGGTTCTACTGTGGATCGATGAGGGAACAGGGAGAAATTGTTAGCTACCCGCATTGCTTGCGAGATGGAGCTCCAGCACCAAACCCATGATTAAAGATTGCGGCTTTCTCCAGCCAAAGCCTGGAACGCCACCAGCATTCTTCTCCAAGAGCTCTGCCTTTGCTCTTGAAGAACACACAAACAAAAGCTTCCCTTTCATTCATTCAAGCTCAAAGCTCTGCTGCTGATCTCTCGGGCTAAAGGAAAAGTGGAATTTTTTTTTTCCGCTGCTCGCTTTCTCTCTTTTGGGTTTTGGTTTGTGTCAGTGCGAAGAAGCAGCTCTTTGCTTAAAGACTGCGTTGTTCTCTCATGAGACTTTGTTATCTCCTCTCTTTTCCTCCATAGCCAGCCTACTTATATTGTGTCGTTTTCCACTGTCTTCACAACGCCCAGTTGCGAAACAACGCTCTTTTTGAGCTGTTGGACGCTTTCAAAGCGCTCGCGAGCTCTTTTCTTTGCTCCATCTCTCATCTCCCTCTCTCTCTCTCTCTTCTCTCTCTCTCTCTCTCGGAAAAAGGATCCCTTCTTCTTCTCTTTTCTCCCAAGAACAGCTTGCGCTTCCAGCATTTCCTCGTTTTGCCCCGAGCTTTTGTTTTTTTCCTTGCGCACACAATGCACACAAGCTGCTACCCGACGAGCAGCGAATGGTGGGTTCTCGTTCACGGACTGATCGAGCCAAAGGAGCAAAAGTTCTTCCTCTCCTCCTTCCAGGTTCTTCGACTCTCCACTTTCTCCTCCACGCCCTCACGATCTGTGAATTCTTTTCTCCTTTTCCTCTCTTTTCCTCCATCGACTGCGCTTGCGTTGCGCTTAAGTTGTGGGTTCTTTCGCTTCATTCTCGGCACTAACAGTGAAATCTTTCCCATGTTTTTTTTCTCCAGAGGTGGAATTTTTCTTCGGGGCCATGAAAGGGAGGAGCTATGCGGCAGTAAGCAAGGTGAGTAAATGGATATTCTTCTTCTAGAACAGCACACTCCAGGAGAAAAAATAGCTCTTCCTTTTGCCTCTAGCTATTAGAGTCAATGCACGTTTTCACTCTTCTTCTCTTTGGGCTTTGCTACAGGAGGAAGAAGAACACGCGAGTATATGGAAGCCGATGTGAAGAAGGGGGAGAAGGTCTAACCGGAAGATCATCTCCATCTCTCACTCGTGAGTAACTCGACTTAGAACTTGGATTTCCAGCTCCAGGGGGAAGAAATGGATGATTTTGGTAGCATTTTGGAGCGGGACTATGGACTTGGTCGGGCAGGAAAGGGTCGAATTGGCAGTAGAGGCAGCAAGAACAGCGGCAGTGGCCCAAAGTTTGATAGCTCCGCTAGGTTCTCGGAGAGTTTTGGTAGAACCAAGCTTGGAAAGAGCGATTTTGGCGGAAGCTTTCGCGGCAGGAGCGATCAAAACCACCACCACAATCACTCCTCGGGCTATGGCAGTTTTGGATCGTCTTACAGCGTCTACGACGAAGTTTTCTCTTGCAATGTCCACTCCACCATCCCGGTGTTTGAGGACGTTTTCCGGGTGCCTTCGTCGAGGATGAAGGTGTCGGAGCTCCGAGACAATGAGATCTTCCGGGGGATTCCAACTCTCAAGAAGAGCAGCTCGAGAGTTACGTATGAGGATATCTTTGGTGAGGCGCCGGATGATTTATCGGGGCCGTTTTCGTTCGGGGGTGATGTTGCCGGGGCCAAGATCACCACTGCTTCCTCCGGTCTTGGGACGCCACCACGCAAAGAGTATGTAACTCAAACTAAGCTTCTTGCCATAGCCATAGATTTATATTGTTTTCTCCTATCTTTCAAGTGCTCACAAACTTTTCTTGTGCAGTGCTGCTACTGTTGGAAGCTCCAAAGACGCTCCAGCACCTCCACAAGCTTTGGACGTGGCGGCTCTCAAGGTTGGCTGATCCAAAAATCTCTTTTTTCTTTTACGCAAACTTGTAAGCTTCCATTTTCTGTTTGATCCACAGAAGCCACAAGGATCGTTCCTTGGAATGTCCACACTCAAACAAAACGGTGAGCAGCATCAAGATCTCTCGAACGATCAATTCGAGAGAGCTTGGGTGAGTGTTGGTGAAGTGAGCCTGACGACCAGGCCATCCGATATTCCTCCTCCAGTGCGAGAGGCACCAGCTCGATCGCGAGCTTCCAACCAAAGTTCTTTCGAAGAAGCGTGCCTGGAAAGGACTCAGTCGGACTCGGGGCCGCCACCGCTGCGAACTCCGCCACCTTTGCAGCAAAACTCATCGTCCGAGCTGCTCGAGCGAGTTCTCAAGGAGAGAAGCGCTCACGCGGAGCTTAGCATCAGGGATAAAGTTTTGGACTGGCAAAAGCACAACCTGGCCGAGGAGGAGAAGCTAACTTCTCCTTCGTCTCCACCACCGAGCTACGTCAAGCCGGATACTCATCCAAGCTCCAAGACAAGAGCCGAGACACTGAGAAAACTTCGAGCGGAGCGAGCAGCCATCGACAGGATTGCGGCGGAAGTGGAGGCGGCGGCGGCGGAGCAAGCCAAAGTGAGAGCTGAGAGAGCGGCGCTGGAGCACATCGAGAGAGATGCGAGGGCTGCCGCGCTACTCAAGCAAGATCAGATGTTCTCTCGCGAGGATGACAAAGATGGCGAGCAAACTATCAGGGTGGACGAGGAGGAAAAGGTGGCAGCTCCAGTTGAAGAAACCGCGACTGGATCGCAAGAAGAGGCTAGAGCAGCTGTGGAAGGTGATGGCAAGGTGATCAAACCGGAAGTAGAAGAAGCCGAGAAGAGCTCTAGCGAAGCCATCGATACTTCTACCTCCAGTCCAGTGTTCCGGGAAGAAGAAGCTCGATCGAGCAATGACGTTCCGGAGCGCGAGGAAGCAGGAGCTCCATCAAGCAATGGCGTTATGGAGCGCGAGGAAGCAGGAGCTCGATCGAGCAGTGGTTTGGAGCAGGAGCAAGGCTCGACCGATAATGATTTAGCGCCGCCAACTTTCGAGAACAAGGAGGATGATCAAGAACGTTTGTCGAGCTCCGGAGAAGCTGGAGGAGCGCCGCAAATCCACAAGCTAGTGGAAGCAGTGGCAACAAGTCACGAGAAGGACCAGACCACCGACAGCGAATCCATCCTGAGCATCGATAGCTTCACGACGAACCAGCCGAGCGCGAGTACCCCTGGATCATCCAGCAACGCTCCTGGATCCGGAGCAGCGGCCAAGGATCATCAGGAAGAGGCGGCTCCAGAGACTCCAGAGAGGCTTGAATCGAACATGCGAGATCACGAGAAGAGCAACAAAAGCTTGGAGATATCCGTGGAAGCGGAGGAGAGGAGGACGATCGAGGAGCAACGAAAGCGAGAACTTATGGAAGAAGCTCGAAGGACACGCGAGAGGAGCTTGGTGGCGAGGATCACAGCCGAGGTTCGCGAGAGAGCGGCGCTGGAAGCAAAGGCCAAGGCCGAGAGAGCAGCGGCTATGGATCGAAAGAAATCATCGAGCGAGCAGCCGCAGCAGAGGCGGACCAAGCCTCGATTGAGAGAGCAATCGAGCAGCGAAGTGGTAGCCAAGGAGCTCGAGGATCGAGCGAACCCGGCATCGTCGTCCTCGTCGCCAGGTTCTTCGTCCACGGCAAAAGGTGGCGGAGGAGGAGGAACGCGCGTTTCTTTGCGCGAGCAGCTCGAGAAGGAGCGGTTGGCGCGATCCGAGAGCTCTGCTGCTACTACTCCTCGTGACGATCCAAAGGATAGTGAGCACCACCGCCAATCCGGGAGAGCTATCCGCGAGGATAGATCTCTGGTGGAGAGAATGCGAGCCGAGGCTCGCGAGCGAGCGGCAGTGGCGAAGATAGAGCGCGAGAGGGAGGAGCGCGAGCGAGAGAGGCTCGAGAGGATCGACGCTGCGAGGAGGCGCGAGAGGGAGAGGCTGGAGAGGCTAGAGAAGGAGCGCGAAAGGGAGAGGGAGAGGCTGGAGAGGGAGCTGGAGAGAGAGAGGGAGATCGAGCGAGAGAAGGACCGAGTGGGACTGGAGGAGAAGGCGGCGCGGGAGAGAGCCGAAGCGGAGGCGGCGGTGGCGGCGGCGGAGGTGGCGGCGCGGTTGAAAATGGAGAGAGCGGCGGTGGAGCGAGCCAACGCTGAGGCACGGGCGAGAGCCGAGCGAGCGGCCTACGATGCTGCTCGAGCTCCAGTGTCTTCCAGCTCTTCCAGGCCGACGAGCGCTCCCAAGCAACGCTTTGCAAACTCGGTAAGAGATCTTTCTTTTTCTCCATTTCTCGTTCGAGTTCGTGGTTCTTCCAACGTTTGCCAACTTTGAGTTGTTCTCTCACATTCTCGGGTTTTTGTTTCCGAGATCCAGCTTGTTTCGGTCTCGATTTGCACTTTTTCCAACTTTGTTCTTGTTTCTTCCTTTTCCAGGCATCGATGCCTACGTCTGGAAGCCAAACCGAGAATGGAGGCATTCGGAGGACAACTTCGAGCACAAACTTGGAGAGCGATCGAACCAGCAATGTCAACTCAAACAGCAGTAAGTTGTGTTGCTTCCTTCCATTGTTCTTAGCCAGTCTCTTTCGTGTCCCAGGCTTCTCTCGCGAGGATTTCCAAGAGTTGAAAGGAGAGACGCCAGAGCGAAGGAAAGCTCGCTTGGAACGCTACCGGAGAACCCAAAACCGCGCAGTATGTGGAAAAATTCTTCTTTTTCCTTCTCGGGGCTTAGAAAAAATGGATTTTGTTTGCAGGCACAGGCTTTGGCACAAAAGAACAAGCGCGATCTGGAGCTCCAATCCGAGCAAGCCGAAAGACAAGTAAGTCGGCACCGGCCAAAGAAGAAAAACTCAAAACTTTCTTTGCTTCCAGAGATTGGCCGAGAGACTCGACAGCGATATCAAACGGTGGTCTGTAGGAAAAGATGGCAACATTCGAGCTCTCCTTTCAACACTCCAATACGTAAGATCCAAACTTTTCTTCGTGTTCTCTTCTAGTTTCCTTTACACTTGTCCATCGATCTCACAGGTTTTGTGGCCGGAATCTGGATGGAAGCAAGTAACTCTCACCGAGCTCATCAATCCAGCCGCAGTAAAGAAGGCCTACCGACGAGCAACGCTGTGTGTTCATCCGGACAAAATGCAGCAAAAGCACGCGAGCGTCCAGCAAAAGTACATAGCCGAGAAAGTCTTCCACATCTTACAGGTTCTTCGCAAATCCCTCTTTGTTTCAACACAGGGATGATCTTTGTGCTTCTTGAATTCACACTTTCAGGTGGCGTGGAATCGATTCAATTCCCAAGAGATGCTTTGAACTTGCTGTGATGATCACGAATGAGTGGTAGACTCTCTTTAGTCGTAACTACGAGTGTGAGGCGAACGATTCAACATGTATAAAACGCGCAGACAAAGAAGAAAGAAGACTGGCGATCCATCCATCCTTCGATTCTCAAATGGTTGGATCCCAATAAGCTCAAAAGTTACAATCTGAGAATTTTTTGGGAGCGATCATACTTTTGCTCGTTCCTCTTAGAACATGAAATGTAAAATGTAGCAACAGCAAAACATCATTTTCCTTATGTGCCGAGGAAAGTGTTTGAAGAACTCTGGAAGAACTTTGACAATCATTGTAACTTTGGAAAATCTTTGGAACCTTGGAAAATCTGTGGAAAATCTTTGAAAGTCTTTGAGACTTTGAAAAGTCTTTGCGAAGATTCAATGAGAGTCAAGGTCTTTAGTCGCGGTCAATCGCCCGCCGCCACGTGAAAGACATGGAAATTCGTCACCTCAGTTCTTAGGTGGCAGCTCTTGTTTGAATGGAAGAAAATCTCATCAAGTTTTGGAGCGCTCAATCCAGCTATGGAAATTCTTAGAGAACAATCGCTGAAATTGGCCAAAAATTCTCAAAATCTTCAAGTTTTGGAATTCTTAGAGAACAATCGCTGAAATTGGCCATAAATTCTCAAAATGTTTGAGCCTCGTGAACAAAGAAGGAAAGGAAAACCCAAGAAAATTTATACAAAACTGACAATTTCTTTTTAAGAGAAAAAGGAAGATTTTTACAAGAATTCAAACGCTATCGCATCAATCCATCTCAAACTTTCACTTCAGTTGTAGTAGAGATTGAAGTTGTCGGTGTAGACTTGCACAACTTTCTTCTTTTCCTCTCCTTTCTTCTTCTCCTCTTTCTTCTCCTCTTTCTTTTTCTCTTCCTTCTTCTCCTCTTTCTTCTTCGGGGGCTCGTAATTGTTCTCGATCGAGCGGAGGATCCCGTGATGGCAACTGTTCACCTTGCGAACATCGTCCAGATCGAAGTTCCCGATCACAACCAAGCCAGAAGAATCGGATTCCACTTTCTCCACCCCTGTTTTTTCACACCCAAATGTTAGATGGGAGCAAAAAAGAGAAATTTTCCCATGCTCTTACCTTTGATCTTCTTGAATTCATCAGTCTTCCCCTTGCAGCTCGCGCAAGTAGACAATGACACCTTCTTCATGATGAATTGCTTGCTTGTGGAAAAACGAGCTTCGATCTCAAATCAGAATCCTTGCTTCCTTTCTTCACTCGGGAAAAACACGCTTGATCTCTCTTTAGAACTCGACTACCCTATTTAAGCACGAAAATCTTACACCATCGCAACAGCAAAACGCGTCGGGACACGATACGCTCGCTTTCTCTTTCTCTTTCTTCTCCCTGTAGTTACTTCGGCGTGTTTTCTCCCAGCGTCGACCGACAGTGTAGAACTTCACATCCATACGAAAAATGGCACTCCACTTTTGGCGGCCAAAAAAGCAGCTTGACGTCGGAACAAAAAGTTGGTCCTTATTCTCGACCCGCGAAAGTTCCCGAAATCTACCGGCATTTGCACAAAAAGTAATCACCGCGGGAATATTATTTTGAATCCGCTTTTGACTCAGCTTCTCCAGATCCAATCAATCCTTCACGAAACTCTTGAAACGGTTTCTTCGCTCTTGATCCATCCCAATTGCCAAAATCACAATTTGGCGCTCCTTAACATCTGTGCAGTGTTTTAGCTGTAGTAATTGTAGGTATGGGTGTAAACGTATACAACGCTAGAACCACCGCCCTCCTTCTTCTCGTCCTTCTTCTTTGGGGGCTCGTAATCGTTCTCGACGGAACGAAGAACGCTGTGGTGGCAATCCACCGCCTTGACCACGTCGTCCACATCAAATTTGCCGATCACTACCAGGCCTGATGACTCCGATTCCACCTTATCAACTCCTGTCGAAAAAACCACACCAGATTCATGGTCTCCAGATCCAATCCAAAGATTATACCTTTGATCTTTTTGAGGGCGTCGATCTTTCCCTCGCAGCTCCAACAAGTAGAGAGGGTGACCTTCTTCATGCTTGCAAAAAAAGAAAAATAGATCCAACTGGGAGATTTTTCCTTGAAACTTGCTCTCTCCTAGGGAAAATTAGCCGAGCTGCTATCGCGCTTGCTCGTCTTCGAACTGATTTTATAGCTTCTACGTTAAGCCATCGTAGGACGACGCGTCTACTACCAAATTCCTCGCTACTTCAAAACACGAGGCCCGCTTCTGGGGGAAGACCATTTCACCAGGCTTTCGCAATGCAAAAGAAGATTTCACTCGTAGTTCTTTAAAACAGATGAAATTTCATTTCTAAAGAAGATTGAAATTGATTTGCACAACCAGATCTTGTTTTCCTCTCTTAGGATCTTACATGCATAAGCATTTGCATGGCTCTCCGGAGTAGGACCCAAGCCCAAATGTCTATAGACTATATCTATCTATCTATCTCTGTTTTTTTTTTCGCAAGTAGACAATGTCACCTTCTCCATCAGATGGTGATCTCAGAACGCGGCAAAAACAGTTTGACGTCGAAACAAAAAGTTGTTCTTGCGCTTGGCGCCATTTGTTTTCTGTTTTTTCTCTGTTGGTTCGTCCCACCTTGTCACGTAATATAGAGGTATACATACATGTGCGAATCTACGGTAGTACGACCTGCACTCGGATTTGCGACGATATGTCAACAGCAGAAGCATTGTAGATCTTATCAGTTATTCACACCTGAGCACTTAATCTCTTGAAAATCCAATAATCCCTCACGAAGCTCTTGAAACTTTTGCTTAGAACAGAACCACCGCCCTCTTCCTCCTCCTTCTCTTCCTTCTTTGGGGGCTCGTAATCTTTCTCGATGGAGTGAAGAACTCTATGGTGGCAATCCATTGCATTGACCACGTCGTCCACATCAAAGTTTCCAATCACCACCGGGCCTAACGACTCCCATTCCACCTCGTCAACCCCTGTTGAGAAAACCACACTTGAAATGCAATCCAAAGATAGTGTTATACCTTCAATCTGCTTGAGTGCGTCGACAGCTCAGAGTGTCACCTTCTTAGGAAAATTCGATTGCGATGCCAATTTGTTGCGATTTTTATAGCTGAAGGTATCGTAAGACGACGCGTCTACTTCCAAATTCCTCGCTAGTTCAAATTACGAGGTCCGTTTCTGGCGGAAGCCATTTCACCCGAAAGAAAATTTCCACACGGATCACAGTTTTATCGACGCGTCTAAATCTCGTGCCATCATGGATTTGTTTTGGTGTTGCAACTTGACACCCTCGTGCTCCCTTTCTGAAATCGCTGGAAGAAAAAGTCCATTCCAGCCGGGAGACCAAAGAAGCTTACATTGATCGCTAAAATCCAGAAAAGAAGGTAAGATTGAAAGGTCAGTCCACGTTCACGGACCATTTTTTTAAAGTTTGAAGCTTGAATAGCATTATAGTCTTCTAAACAATTCCAATCGCATAGTCTGAAACTCACTTGGAACTCCTCAGTAAATAAACCATTTATTTCTCTAAACAGGAGGAGGATCACTTTTAGGATAAAAATGATGTTTTGACGAAGTGAGAACTTTACTAGAGCTGAGAGCCATAGTTACCACATTCCTGTACCATAGAGTCTCCGGTGTGTTTTGTTTCTTCTTTCTGCGGGATCAATATTTTAGATTCGCTTTGATCTCTGAACCGCATCGGTTTCAAGCTTTCGAAATTGCTTCACCTCCCATGAATTCAAGTATTTGAAGTGGAAGAGAAAAACTACTTCTATACACAAACACTATTTTAACTCACTTCCAGTACTGGTTGTAGGTGTGGGTGTACACATATATAACGCTAGAACCTTCCTCCTTCTTGTCTTCCTTCTTTTTGGGGGGCTCGTAATTGTTCTCGATGGAACGAAGGACACTGTGGTGGCAATCCATCGCCTTTAGCACGTCGTCCACATCAAATTTTCCAATCACCACCAGGCCTGACGACTCCGATTCCACCTTATCGACCCCTGTTGGGAAAACCACACCAGAGATTTCATGGAATCAGGGCCGCGATCCAATGCAAAGATTGTGCTATACCTTTGATCTTCTTGAGCGCGTCGGTCTTCCCCTTGCAGCTTTCACAAGTTGAAAGTGTCGCCTTCTTCATGCTTGCAAGGAAAGGAAAATGGATCGAGATTACTAGTTGCTTGCTCAAGATGTTTGCTCAGAAAACCGAGAAATACGCTGCGAGATGCCTTGCTGCTCATGTCTGCGGTTTTTATAGCTTGATTCTACGGTATAGTCTTTGTAGGACGACGCGTCACCACCAAATTCCTCGCGATTTCAGCGAATAGTCAAAGACGACCACAATGCAGAAGAAAATTCCACACTGTCTAGATCCGCGTTGTTGCAACTTTAACAGTCTATTCTTCTTATGAAGAGGACATTCCAACTAGCTGGGAGACCGATTCATCAAAGCCGCAAAAGATTGTCGCGTTTGAGCCTAGAACTCAAGTTGAGCAGCAAATCATACAGCAGCAAATGGGTGATTCCCTACTAGAAGTGGTCGTTGCCACTATTCCGCACATCGCGTGGCACCGTGGATGATTCATGATGTTCCTTCTTCTCCTCTCTCATAATTGTCCTTGCGGGAACAATTTCGTGGAAGTTTCGGCCCCAAAAAGTTGTTTCCCGTGAGTTCGGACCAGTTAATCGATGGTTACAACATAAAAAAGGTAAGGTAGGAAAAAACTCTGCTAATTTACTATTCTAGAACTCCACACTGATCGATTAACTTTATGGAAACGCAAGGGTGGTGAAGTGGAATCCGATTCTTCTGGCTCTCCATTCAGAAGTATATCCTTGACTACGTCTGAGCACCGGCATTATTCATCAGTTTGATAAAAAAATATTCAAGTTTTGAAAATTTAATGCTCTGACAATTATATCCTTAAACCCTTATGTTAAACTGAGGGTTAAATATTAAACTAAAGTATATTGATAAAGTGTGCGTGCGAAATAAGAAACCCTAAGAACTTGGTGCTATGTCTAGATCAGAAGCTCCTGAAGTTGCGCCAGACACACGCCACCTCCCTTGTTCTTGCAGATCCATCCATCCTTTGCAAGTGGAAGAACTATGCAGTGTTTTAGCAATTGCAATTGTAGTGATTGTAGGTGTGGGTGTAAACATATACAACACTAGAACCACCGCCCTTCTTCTCCTTGTCCTTCTTTGGGGGCTCATAATCGTTCTCGACGGAACGAAGAACGCTATGGTGGCAATCCATCGCCTTGACCACGTCGTCCACATCAAATTTGCCGATCACTACCAGGTCTGACGACTCCCATTGCACCTTATCAACCCCTGTTGTTCAAAAACAAGAAACGATATCAGCTTTCAAATTTCCAATCCAAGTTTGTACATACCTTTGATCTTCTTAAGCGCATCAGTCTTTCCCTCGCAGCTCCCACAAGTTGAGAGTGTCACCTTTTTCATGCTCGCAAAAGGAGGAAAAATGGATCGAGATTTTTTCTTGAACCTTTGCTGAGACTTTGCAACTCCGAAGAACACGCTGCGAGATGCCTTGCTGCTCACGTTCGAACTTTGTGGCGGTTTTTATAGCTGGATTCTACAGTTTAGCCACTGGTAAATTGCCAAAGTCGAAGACCATTTCAAAGCTTCTCTCTTGCATTGTATAGAAAGTTTTCAGAGCGTACACTGGACTTTCACATGGGCTTCCCTTTCTCGTGCCTCACATTTGACGTCATTTGATGAGTTGCAGCTTTTTGAAATCGCTGACAAAACCCATGCTGGGAGACCAAAGGAGCGTCCTTGACTTAAACTTTTACCCAGAAGGACCACAATCGCGACTAGCCATCAACTTTGTCAAATCCATTCCAGCTGGGAGACCAAAGAAGCTTACATTGATCGCTTAAATCCATGGTAAGATTGAAAGGTCAGTGTACATTCATGGACCATTTTACGAAACTTTGAAGCTTGAATAGCATTATACATTCTTCTAAACAATTCAAAACGAGTCTGATACAGTGGCTCTCAGCTCTAGTAAACTTCTATTTGAACTCACTTTGTCAAAACATCATTTTTATCCTGCAATTGAAAAGTGACTTCGTTTAAGTCTCCTCCTGTTGAGAGGAATAAACAAATGGTTTTTTTCAGAGTTCCACTCTTTAATGTGTGATGACGCACGTTCATTTTCAAACTCTTAGGAAGAGAATTAATCTCCTCAAAGTTCAAGGTTAAGAACGAACCACATTCCTTTAGAGTCAAATGCACCGGTGTGTTTTCTTTCTTCTTTCTGTGGGATCAATGTTTTAGATTCGGTTTTGAACTCTGAACCGAGAAAAATTAATGCCCTTGATTGAGACATCAACTTTCGAAATTACTTTACCTCCCATGAATTCTACATTCAAGAATTTGAGGTGGAAGAGAAAATCTATTTTTACACACAAACACTATTTAACTCACTTCCAGTACTGGTTGTAGGTGTGGGTGTACACATATATAACGCTAGAGCCTTCTTCCTTCTTGTCTTCCTTCTTTTTGGGGGGCTCGTAATTGTTCTCGATGGAACGAAGGACACTGTGGTGGCAATCCATCGCCTTTAGCACGTCGTCCACATCAAATTTTCCAATCACCACCAGGCCTGACGACTCCGATTCCACCTTATCGACCCCTGTTGGGAAAACCACACCAGAGATTTCATGGAATCAGGGCCGCGATCCAATGCAAAGATTGTGCTATACCTTTGATCTTCTTGAGCGCGTCAGTCTTCCCCTTGCAGCTTTCACAAGTTGAGAGTGTCGCCTTCTTCATGCTTACAAGGAAAGGAAACTGGATCGAGAAAACTAGTTGCTCGCTCAAGATGTTTGCTTGAAGCTTGCCAGAAAATCGAGAAATACGCTGCGAGATGCCTTGCTGCTCACGTTTGCGGTTTTTATAGCCTGATTCTACGGTATAGTCTTCGTAGGACGACGCGTCACCACCAAATTCCTCGCGATTTCAGCGAATAGTCAAAGACGACATAATGCGGAAGAAAATTCCACACGTATTGATCCGCGGTGTTGCAACTTTAACTGTCTATTCTTCTTATGAGAGACCGATTCATCAAAGCCCGCAAAAGGTTGTCGCGTTTGAACCCAGAACTGAATTTCCAAGTTGAGAAGCAAATCATACAGCAGCAAGCGTTCGGGCATGGGTGATGCCCTACTCAAAGTGGTCGTTGCCACTATTCCAGCACATCGCGTGGCACCGTGGGAAAGCGAAGAGACGAACTTCATGATCAGAGACTGTTCCTTCTTCTCCTCTCTCCGATTCCACTTCACCACCCCTACGTTTCCAAAAAGTTAATCCATCAGTGTGGAGTTCTGAGATTTTTCCTACTTTACCTTTTTTTCAACTTGAATCTTCCATGAATTCCCGCAAGGTGATATAGACATTGAACAAAAGGTTGTTCTTATCATTGTTCTCTCTCTCTCTCTCTCTCCCTCGCTCTGAGATTCTTCCTGTCACGGAATCTAGAAGTATAGCCTTGACTACGGCGACGATCATTGACTTGCACCGGCATTTGTGCTGTGCAAAGTCTTTTGCATTCATAGAAAGATCTAACTTTTGAAAACCTTACATCAGTTATGATTCTGACAATTAAATGCTCTGTCAAACTCATTGCTCTTATAGATCTGAAACTCTTGAAATTATTTCATACACACGCTACCTCCCTTGTTCTTGCAGATCCATCCATCCCTTGCAATTGGAAGAACAAATTAGCACTTGCAATTGTAGTGATTGTAGTTGTGGGCGTAAACATACAAAACGCTACCACCATCCTTCTTCTCTTCCTTCTTCTCTTCCTTCTTCTTTGGGGGCTCGTAATTGTTCTCGATGGAACGAAGAACACTGTGGTGGCAATTCATCGCCTTGACCACGTCGTCCACATCAAATTTGCCGATCACTACCAGGCCTGACTTCTCCGATTCCACCTTATCAACCCCTGTTGTTCAAAAACAGAAAAATCCACGAGATCAGCTCTCGAATTTCCAATCCAAAGTTTGTACATACCTTTGATCTTCTTAAGCGCATCAGTCTTTCCCTTGCAGCTCCCACAAGTTGAGAGTGTCACCTTCTTCATGCTTGCAAAAAGAGGGAAAATGGATCGAGATTTTTTCTTGAAACTTTGCTGAGACTTTGCCGCAACACCGAAGAACACGCTGCGAGATGCCTTGCTGCTCACGTTCGAAATTTGTGGCGGTTTTTATAGCTGGATTCTACAGTTTAGCCACCGCTAAGCTAAATTGCCAAAGTGGAAGAAAACTTCAATGCTTCTCTCTTGCATTGTAAAGAAAGTTTCCACACGTCTAGATCACAGTTTGAGGCGCAGACTGGACTTTCACATAGGCTACCCTTTCTCGTGCCTCACATTTGATGACTTTGACTCGATTTTTCTCAAGGGAAACTTCCTTCACGTTTTGAAATCGCTGATAAAACCCATGAATTCATGAATTCCAAATAGCTGGGAAGAAGCGTCCTTGACTTAAAACTTTTACCCAGAAGGACGCGACGTTCATTCAAGCTAGCCATCAACTTTGTCGAACATATATCTAGACTGCAAGATTGTCCTCCGCGGCAGGAACAAAACAACAAGTTAAACTTCAGGTGGATCACGCAGAACGTTTGCTAGCAAGATGTGAGCAGCTCCATTCCTGGAATCCAAATCCAAGACGCTCTTTGCGACAAGACCGGCACTGTGACAAATATGATCATCACTCATCCGGCCCATCCTACACGCCGAAAGAAAAGCCACCAGATTTACAGCATCTGGTTTAAATGGCATCGTCGCCAAGAGCTCTCTCGCATCTTCCAGATACGAGGCTCTGGCGAGCAAATCCACCATGCAACAGTAGTGCTGCTTCACAGGCTCTATTCCAAAGTCGTGTCTCATGGACAGAAAGTACTCCTTGGCGAGAGCAAGCTTTCCTTTGTGGCTGCAAGCGATGAGAACTCCCACGAAACAAACCTGGTCAGGAGAGTGTAGAGTTTCGAGCTCGTCGAAGATTTTCATCGCCTCTTGGAGTTTTCCCCTCTGTGCGAACTTGGTCAGAATCGAGGTCCATGAAACGAGATCGCGCTCGGGCATAGAGCTGAAAATCCTTGCTGCGTTTTCTAAATCACCGTTTTGACCATACATAACCAGGATTGCGTTCCAAGCAACGATGTCTCGCTGTGGCATTGTTTCAAACAAATGCTTCGCTTCTTCCACTTCTCCGTGGTTTGCGAAAGCGATCAGAATCGACGTCCACGACAGTAGATCTTTGTGAGGAACACTCTCAAAAACCTCCCGTGCAAAATCCATGAAACCAAACTGCGCATATCCACAAATCAGTGAGCTCATAGCCACGGAGCTGTGCTCCGGCATCTCGTCAAACACTAGTTTTGCTCTTTCCGGATTTCCTCTATCGAAATTGGCAGCTAGAACAGCGTTCCACGACGACAAACTCGACTGCGGCATTTTTTCTACCATCTTCTCAACTCTCTCAAAGTTTCCCTTTTGGCTGTAAGCCGAGATCATCGAGTTCCACGACACGATATTCGTGAAAGGCATTCTCTGGAAAAAGAACTCGGCTTCTTTGATATTTCCAGCTTGAGCATACGCGCTTACCATGCACGTCCATGAAACCAGGTCACGGTGCTCCATCTTCTCAAAAAGCTCCCGAGCTTTTCCAATGTGGCCATTCTGAGCATAGACCAAAAGCATGTTGTTCCACGACACCATGTCATGCTGAGGCATAGTATCAAAAAAGCATTTGCCACCTTTAACATCTCCAACCTGAGAAAACGCAGTTAACATAGCGTTGCAAAACGTGAGATCCACTTGCCTCGCGGTATGAAAGATTTCTACGCACTTTCGCATATGTCGGAGACGGGCATATGCGGTAAGTATCAGAGTCCAAGACACCATGTCGTGCTGTGGCATAGACATAAAAACATTGTTGGCCTCCGCGACCTTTTGATGGTGCACGTATCCTGCTAAAAGTGTAGTCCACGAGATAAAGTTTCGTGCTGGCATTCCATCAAAAACTGTTCGCGCCTGTTTAAGATGCCCGTTTTGGGTATGCGCAGCAAGCAGTGAATTCCAGGAGATTAAGTTCCACTCCGGCATCGAGTCAAAAACAATCTTCGACTTCTGTTTGCTTCCGCTCTGGGAGTATGCCGCTAGCAATGTGTTCCAAGAAACAACGTTCCACATGGGAATCTCACCAAAGAGAATTTCAAATTCTTCAAAGTGCCCGCTTTGGGCATATGCAGCTAGCATGGCATTCCACGCCACCATGTTCTTCTCAGGCATCTCGTCAAACGTAGCCCGGGACTCGCGAATATACCCATTTCGGGAATATGCACAGAGCATCAGCACCCAGGTGTAAACGTTCCTGTCGCCCAAAGCAATGCCGTCGAACGCAATCCGTGCATCTTTCACCCGACCGGCGCTTCCGTACATGTGAATCAGCTTGTTGGCGATGAAAACTTGGTCTGGTGTTTTGGCAGCCATGATCTTCTTCTTCTTCTCGCAGAATCAAAATCAATCCACGCGCTCTCGATTTCATCGTCAGCAAAGCGCCTTTTAAAATATGATGTCATGCCCAACATCAAATTCCTGGAGTCGTAGCTTTAAGTTTGGTGGAAGAAGGCACAGCGAAGATCTCAATCTCACAACTAGCAACTGGGAAATTTCAATTGGAATCAGATAATTTGTAGCTGGATGGATGGAAGATCCAGGATTTTGCGTGGAAGCCACATCATGGATATAAAAGCCCCGCTCAAGATCGCAGTTAACACACAAGTTTCTCATATTATCTTTGTTACAAGAAAAAAAAGTACTTAAAACATGTCTTCTGCGATCTTGTTTTGTGCATTGCTTGCTTCGACCTTGTCTCTAGTTTATGCCCAAAGTCCCAATTGCACGAATGCCACCGCCGTGTTCACTTTGGGCGATTCGATTGTCGACAGTGGAAACAACAACTATTTTGTGAACGTGAGTTTCACAATTGCCAGAGCAAATCACACTCCCTATGGTGTTGATTACCCCAATCAAATCCCCACTGGCCGATTCACAAACGGATTAGTTCTTCCTGATTATCTTGGTAAGTTGGCCGCCAACTTTCAAGAACATTTCAAATGTTAGTTGTGGATGATCATATATGTAAATGTGGTTTGTAGCTCAATACTGTGGAATCAACAGGGCACTCCCGTTTCTCGATCCAAATGCGAATGGGGTGAATCTAACCCAAGGTGTAAACTTGGCTTCTGGAGGTGCGGCGATCATAGATGCTCTCTCCAGCAATCTGGTAAATCTATCACAATCCACCAGTGTCTCAGCATCCTGATACTAATGATTCTTTGGTGTCTAGACTCCTTACAACTTTAGCCTCCAAGTCCAGTGGTTTGCGAATGTAACTCAGAGGCTTCAGGCTCTAGAAGGCGTGGCCGCAGCATCAGCTCGAATTGCAAAAGCACTCTTCATTCTAAGCTTTGGATCCAATGATTTCTCCAACAAAAACTTTAGCATCTACCTCAATTACACAGACGCGGACTTTCGAGCCCTCATGATCACCACTTTTTCGAGCAGAATTAAGGTAAAACAAGCTTTTTAGATCTAAAGATTGAACTGTTTTCTGCTTTTCCAGGACTTATACAATCTGGGAGCTCGCAAGTTTATAATTCCAGCGCTGGGACCTTTGGGTTGTACTCCCATAGCGATCACGATCCAATGCTTGAGCGCTGGCAACTTCTTCCCATCTTGCCGGACAAATTGCAACGAGAACTCAAACAATTTGGCTTACTCTTACGACGTGGATCTCCAGACCGCGCTCAACTCTCTCCAGGCAAACCTGACGGGATCCAAGTTCTACTTCAACTTCGATGCTTACAACGTGACAAGGGACGCCATCTCAAACCCTTCCAACTATGGTGAGTATGGCTGTTCTCAAAATCTCATGCTTTTCTTACTCACTCGTCCTCTTCAAGGCTACACGGTGGTGAATAGAGGCTGCTGTGGATTCGGCTTTACAGAGATTGGAGATGGTTGCAATGGGACCATGGTTTGCTCGTCCAGATCCTCGTACATGTTCTTCGATGCCATCCATCCCGGACAAGATCTCATCAAATTGCTCGCCAATCGCTTGTTTCCATCGCTTGCGAGCTAATGTAAAGCTTTTCCCGCTTCATAAAATAAAGCTCACTCCATTCAAACCTGCGCCGTTGGATCTAATCCATCTCGACCGTAGGATATGGAACAAACATGATGTAAAGCCCTAAACCTAACCCTAGTCCCTCAGCAAGCGGCCGTAAGGTGTCTGTCTCGGGGATCTTGCGCTCGGAGATTTTGCGCAGCGAGCCCAGGTGAGTGCTTTCTTCGATCGCAAGGCTCGATTCAGTGGTTTTAGTTGCCAGGAAGAAGCGCCATGGCGATGCCTTACAAGCCCGGGAAAGAGGAGGCGGCCGAAACCCTCCATCGCATTCGCATTACCCTGACGTCCAAGAATGTGAAGAATCTGGAGAAAGGTAAGGTTTAGAATTTCTTTCCTGGCATGAAAGAAGGCTGAGACGATTTTTCCTTTGGTTTTTGTTGGGTGGTCTGCTTTAGTTTGTAGCGATCTGGTTCGTGGTGCCAAGGACAAGCAGCTTCGAGTGAAGGGTCCCGTGAGGATGCCCACCAAAGTTCTTCGTCACACCACCAGGAAGTCTCCCTGTGGCGAAGGTATGCCCTCTCTGGATTTTTTCTCTTTTCATTTTTGTTTCTCACTGCTTCTCGACAGGAACTAACACCTGGGATCGTTTCGAGCTGAGGGTCCACAAGCGAGTGATCGATCTGCACAGCTCCTCGGAGGTTGTGAAGCAAATCACCTCCATCACCATCGAGCCCGGTGTGGAAGTCGAGGTGACTATTGCCGAGTAGAAGGATTCTTCTTGTTCGTTTTCCTTCTGCCAGAGCTGTTTGAAGAGATACTTAATCTGGTTTTGACTTACGCTTCGTGTCTTGTAAGCTAGGATTTTCGTGCTGAAGAGTGCCCTGGGGCATTGCTAGCATTGCAGTGCTTTCCTTCGCAAGCTCTTCGATAAAAATGTATGCCTCTCTAGCTTTTGGAGGGGCCAAGGGTGTGATCTTCTGAGCCACTTGTGGTGGGAGTGTGCTGGGAACATCACAACACTCTTGTACAGGTTCTTTGTTTTGCACAGCCCTTGAGATCACCTTCCGTAACTTTGCAGTGGAAGTGTTTTTGAGTCATTGCTGTGCTAGAGCTAATTCTTCCAAGGTGGGGAGTTTTTCCTTGCCTGGATCTCTATCCGCTTTGTCATAGTGTCCACTGGTTACCGTGGAGACTTACGGTGGATAGAGGCAAATAGTTATTTGTTCTAGAAATGAAACCAATGTAGTCTTTTGTGTTCTTTCACGAGGCTTCTCTTTTGAGCTCTCGACGCAATTCCTAAATACCAGTGCACTGGTATTCATATATTCATACCAAGTATGTTCTATATAGCTATGGTTTTCATCGAAGTTGTCACAGTTGCATTCTTTCTGTCCTCAGCTATCGTTCGAGTTTTGGGATCCTTTCCAGGATTTCTGCATCCAAACTCCAATGTTTTCATCAACGGAGAGCCTTCCAAAGATCTCCCCCCTTCAGCTCCAGTCACAAACAAATCCACGTCGATATTACTATGTTTCCAGGCCTCAACACACAGGGACCCTCCATTGCTTGCCTCGCATTCGGTCCAATCCTCCACACATCCCCGAGCGTCCCGCCTCTACGTGATTTGTGTCAACTTCAAGGTTTTGTATTCCGGTGATCTCTTCATCTTCTCAGGGTCTCGCTCACTCCTGGACAACTCGGACACGGGTGCGCTTGGAAGCCAAAACCCGGGAAGATCAGACATGGCTACAGCGCTGTTCCAAACCAATCCAAACATCAGTTCTCCGGTTTGACGATAATAATGAGTGACCAACTAATAAATGTTTTGCAAAAGTTAGTTGGCAGGCAGAAATCCTCTGGTTCGATTCCGGCAGATCGGATCAACTCCATGATAGTCGGCACGGCAGCCGACAATCGAAAACTCCACTGCCTCCATTCTCCCCACAGGCTTGACAAAGGCGCGATGACCTTGAAGAACTTGAAAGATAGTGTATTATTTAATCATCTCTTCCTTAGTGCGCACACTAAGGCCGCAGAGTAATGATTCTGCCACGGGTTTCAACCCTCCGGGAGGCGGCCACAAGATGGAGCTTTGCGTGCTGGGAGCTGCAAGACCGATGCTTGCACAGGTTTGAGAACCTGAGACAAAAGATCTTTTCTCGCCGAGCTGGGTGTTGGCACGGGTCCAAATCTCAAGTATTACGTGAGATCAGGGAGCGGCATGAGTGTCATTGGGATCGATCCCAACGAAAAAATGGAGAAGTACGCTCGAGCTGCTGCAACAGATGCCAGGCTCAATTTGACAAAGTTCGCAAGTTCGCGAGTTTTCACTTGCTTTCCGGGTAGGAGAACAACAACACTTATACCGGTCATCTCAACTCCGGTGCTTTGCTCGGTCAAAGGTTGAAGCTTACGGTATTTTCTTTGCTCGATCTTCACTCCTTTAGATTAATGTAGAAGTGAACGGAGCTACATTCTACTTCCTGGAGCGGAGGTTTGTGCTGGAAACCGTCTCGCCCTCGTCTCATTTTCGCGCGCGAATCAATCCAGAAGGAAGTAGTGTGAGATTCTGGCAAGATGTTCTCGACCCCCTCTAGCAGTTCATCGCCGACGGCTGCCACCTCACCCGTGACACACTCTCCGCATCAAATCCGCCAGCTTTGCGAGTGTCGCGGCGCAGCGAATCAACCTGATCTCATATAATAGGGACCTCTCAGTCTTAATGGTTGTAACAACGTAAATCTGATTCTTGATGGAAACACAATCTGCAGCTCGGCGTAGGCGTGCCAGGAAAATCAACATCCACCTACTTACATCTTCCTTTGCATTTAAGCTCGCGGCCACTGCAAGAGATCATAGAGAAAAAGAGCGAGCGAGCGCGAGAGAGACTAAACTAGAGGAAAGAAGAGAGTGAGCGAGAGCACAAATGGCACTAGCAAGCAATGCTTTTGGATTCCTTCTCTCGTGCATGGTGGCCATCTTTGGAGTTTTGGGCGATCCTGATCCTCTCCAGGACTTCTGCGTCAAAGATCCAAACTCCAAAGTTTTCGTCGACGGAGCCCCTTGCAAAGATCCCACTAGAGTTACTGTTGACGACTTCACCTCCACCGTCCTTCGCCAGGCTCCAGTCACAAACAACACACTGCGAATCCAAGTCGACTTGGTCGATATTAGAATGTTTCCAGGCCTCAACACACAAGGGCTCTCCATTGCCCGCCTCGCATTCGGTCCATTTGGCGTGAATCCTCCACACAGCCATCCCCGAGCATCCGAGATCATCTGGCTCCTCCAGGGAGGCCTCTACGTCGGATTTGTGTCAACTTCCAACCGGTTGTTTGCAAAGGTTTTGTATCCCGGTGACCTGTTCATCTTTCCCAGGGGTCTTGTTCACTTCCAGCGAAATCTGAATAACTCGAGCACGGTCGCAGTTGCTGCGCTTGGAAGCCAAAACCCGGGAAGAACAGACATGGCTAGAGCGTTGTTCCAGACCACTCCAAACATCATGAACGAAGTTTTAGAGACAACTTTACAGGTTGATGGAAATGAGATTAATAAGTTACGAAGTGGAGTGAGTCGGACTTAATCAATGTTCAAAAGTTTCAATTAACAAATAAAATCGATCTTGGCTCGGAGGGCTGTAGTATCATTCAGAAATCCTTTTGTCGCTGGTTCGATTCGGTCAGATCGGACTTCATTCTTCAATGGTATGCAGTTTTGGGCACTATATAAAAATTGAGGAATGTGTGATTCTTTTTCTGACCAATATAAAATTATAATGTTTATACGCATTTTGTTTCCGACTTGGAAACTCTCCCAAGCCAGTGCCGCTGGGCCAAGGAAGGTCAAGAGCGGCGAGTAAGGAAGACTTTTGAGTGTTACGGATGAGAAGATCAGTCAGCGAGGAGGGGCGGTGTCCATTAACTGGGGTCCAGCAGAAAGCCTTGAAACTTCCAAGAGGACCGAGACGAAGGGGAGGCTGCGGCTGCCGGGGGATTGAAACAATGACAAACACTTTAAGCATGAAATCCAGATTGACTCTGCTTTACCGCTCTACATAGTCCTATATGTTAAGTTTGCACTCCTCCACACAAAATGTTATTCCTAACTACTGTTCTCATCAGCATACGGAAGCTCAAAGAAATATGACAGCGTTGCTTCCTTGAAGCCTTTGAATCCAAGTGTTCGATTGTAAAATCTAAGAGAGTTTGTCTTTATATGTAGGTAACACAGTTGGACTTCTCTACTAATACAATAAGAATAAATGTACGGGAAATTCCCCAGTATAAATACATATACCAGAGCCTCCCAATAGCATCTCTGCATCGATCAATCGATACATCTCAATGGCCAAGTTTCCCCAAGTTTTTGTTGCTCTTCTTGCAGTTTTCACAATTGCCAGCCTTGCAGTCGTGCGGGGTGATGAAGATCCCCTCCAAGACGTCTGCGTCCAGGATCCCAACTCCAAAGTCTTTATCAACGGAGTTCCTTGCAAGGATCCCACCACCGTCACTGCCGACGATTTCACCTCAACCATCCTCCGCGAGCCTGCAAACACCACCAACACTCTCAACATCAGGGTCCAGCTGATCGACATCACGATGTTCCCAGGCCTCAACACGCAAGGACTCTCCATCGCTCGCCTCTCATTCGGTCCATTCGGAGTGAATCCTCCCCACGTCCATCCGCGATCATCCGAGGTCATCTATTGTCTCCAGGGACGCATCTACGCTGGGTTTGTAACGACAGCCAACAGGCTGTTCGAGAAGGTTTTGTATCCCGGGGACTTGTTTATCTTTCCTCGAGGGCTGGTCCACTTCCAGCGGAACCTTGACCCGGTCAGCGCTCTCGCTATTGCCACTCTTGGGAGTCAAAACCCTGGTCGCACGGATGTGGCTAGGGCTCTTTTCCAGACTCAAGAATCTGATAATCTGAACGAAGTGATCGAAGCAGCTCTCCAAGTTGACGAGGAAGTGATCGAAAAGCTTCGCGCTGGAGTGAGCCAGACCTGAGAAGAGTTTTTGATAAAGGTAAGAAAGAATGTTCTTGAGATAATGAGTTTAATATAAATTAAGTTTTCTAAAAAGCCCTAAAAGGACATACTGGAATCATTTTAAATTTAACAAAGGGCTCGCGTGGATCACATCCGCAAGAGCGTCTCACGCAACCAGGTGGAGATGATCTCGCGATCCAAGCACGCGAGCGATGTTTCACGGGCGTTGGATTCCGCCAAGAGCGCCTCCGGGATTTGGTGATAGAAAAGTGCTGGATGCATCGAGGAATTGCGGCCAATGCTGGAATCGTCTCGTGGAACGTGGTAAACAAGGAAGACCAATCTTAGCGAGTCAGTTGGCAGAGTGGAGGACTGTAGTAGCTCTGAGAAATCCTTGGGTCGCTGGTTCGATTGCCGCATGGTCAGCAATCGTCCACCTGTGCGCTTCTTTGGAGGGGCTTTGCGGAGCCGCCACATAATGAAAAGTAGATCCTTGGGTTGAGCTCAGGGCCATGGCGAGGTTCCCGGCACTTGACGAGACCACGGGTTTGCGTGCTGGGAGCTGCAAGATATAGCTCCTCATAGTGGGTCTTCAGAAGATCTGGCAAATAGCAGTGCAGATGTGGGAGGAGGCAAGTGCTTGTATCAATCTTGGGAGCATCACTAGCAACACCAGGTGGGAGTGTGGCTGGGCTACATGCAGATGGTCTTGACAATGGCGATCTAGTAGTAACAATTATCCTTTTCTACGCAAGTTTTTCTTCTTCTTCTTCTTCTCTCTTGTTCTTCTCTCGCAGCAAACGCTGAGCCGTCCATCCCAAAAGACCTGACTGGTAAAAGGAGTTCGTGTCTTACGAGTCCTTGCAAATTCTCGATAACATAGGAGAACAAAAACCCCTCAACACTTCGTCAACTGTGCTCGGTCACAGATTTAAGTTCAACTCTCCAAGGTTGAAGTTTAGGTGAATAGAGTCCTCAAGCCCTACTTCCTGGAGCAGTTGCGGCTCAAGGTCTGTGCTGGAAACTATCCTCGCCCTCGTCTCATCAAGTAGTGTGAGATTCTGACAAGATGCGTCCAGCAGTACGGGTGCCACCTCACCCGTGACACACTCTCTGGCATAAAAGCCGCTAGCTTTGCGAGCTCGCGGCGCAGTGAATCAACCAGCATCGCCTTCCTGGTCATAGGGACCGCACAATCTTTACAGTTGTAACAACGTAAAATTTATCCTCGGTGGAAAATTGGACACGATTATCAAAAGAGCTGCAGCTCAGCGCGAGCATGCCAGGAAAATCAATGCCAAGGTAAAGTCTCGATCCACCTACTTACATATTCCTTCATTTAAGCTCGCGGCCACTGCGTTGTTTTAAAGAGAGCGAGAGAGAGATCATAGAGAGAAGGAGCGAGAGAGATTAAACTAGAGGAGGTAAGAGAGTGAGCGAGAGCACAAATGGCACTAGCAAGAAATGCTTTTTGGATTCCTTCTCTCATGCATGGTGGCCATCGTTGGAGTTTTGGGTGATCCGGATCCTCTCCAGGACTTTTTTGTCAAGGATCCAAACTCCAAAGTCTTCATCAACGAAGCCCCCACAAGAGATACTGCTCACGACTTCACCTCCACCATCCTTCCCCAGGCTCCAGTCACAAACAACACTGAGAAGCCAAGTCAACTTGATTGATATTAGAATGTTTCCAGAAGGACTCTCCATTGCTCGCCTCGCATTCAGTCCATTCAGCGTGAATCCTCCACACAGCCATCCCCGAGCGTTCGAGGTCATCTGGCTCCGCCTCTGCGTCGGATTTGTGTCAACTTCCAACCAGCTGTTTGCAAAGGTTTTGAATCTTTCCCAGAGTTCTCGTTCACTTCCAGCGAAACCTGGATAAGTCGACACGGTTTGGCTGCGATTGGAATCCAAAAACCGGGAAGCACAGACGTGGCTAGAGCGTTGTTCCAAACAAACTCCAAATATCACGAACGAAGTTCTCGTGTGGATTGGCCGGACTTTACTGACAAAAAGTCCAACTAATAAAATGCAAAAGTTTCAATAAATAATCAAAACCGATCTTAGCTCAGTTGGCAGAGAAAGTGTTAGAAATTGGACAATGGAATTTACATCCTGTAATAGAAGTCCGATCTAAACCAAGACTTAAAGTTATCCATAGAAAGAAATCTCAACACTACAGTGAAATTTGTTTTTGACTCTAAGAGTTTCGGTGCTGCCTGGGAGGGCGGCCTCTGCAGAAAGCCTTGAAATTTCAAGAGGACCAAGATGACAGAGAGGCTAAGGTGTAAAATAAGGGAGGGAACATGCCCATGTGAGCATAAAGTTAAACAGCGATTGCTACACTACATGCAAAATGATATTCATCAGGATATGTCTAGCACGTCTATAGCGTTGCTTCCTTGACGCCTTTGAATCCAGGTCTTTGTTCTGCACAGCGAGTTCACCTTTGTTTACATTGTTTTGGGTCATTGTTGTGTTGGAGTTTATTCTTCCAAGCTGGAGTTCTTCCTTGCCTGGATTTTTATCAACTTTGTCAAAGTGTCCACTGTTTACCGTGGAGATTTGTGGTTGATAGAGGCCAATATTCCTTCCTATATCGTTGAAATTTCGGTTCTAGAAATGTTGAAAAAACTCGAATGCATGGCAAGCAATGGAGTGTGTTGAGGCCTGGAAACATTCTAATATCGATCAAGTCGACTTGGATTCTCAGTGTGTTGAAGGATGGTGGAGGTGAAGTCTGTGTCGGGATCTTTGCAGGGCACACCATTGATGAAAACGTTGGAGTTTGGATCCTCAATGAAGAAATTCTGGAGAAGATGCACAAAAAAGAGTGTGCCGTTGGTATATGAAATTGCGAAAACTCAAGACGAAATACTTGGTATGGATCTGTGGCCTCTGCTCGACGGTATTTATTCGCAGTGCTCCGAGGAGCCAATTTTTTTTTACATGGTCACATATACAAATCATTGTTAATTTCCAAAAAGTTGTTTGAGAAGGTTTTGTTCAAGGGCCTTAAAATAGCAAACCACTCCAAAATGTGTGATAACACGCAACCCGGTTCGATTCCGGCAGATTAAATATTAGTTTTACAATGATAAATCAGCTAGAAGCATAGGACCTCAAGGAGAAGAGCCTTGTCTCTGACCCATAAAAGCTTATAAAATTCAAAGAGCAAACAGCAAGCCAGATCTAGGATAGTAAGCTTTTCTCTTATGTTCATTGGCAATAAGAGTGTCTCTTTGTGTTTCTAGTGCGAAGATACTTAAATAAAAGAATAAGGAATGTGTTGGTGACAAATATAATAATATAATTTGATAGGAATTCTGACTAAAACTCCTCACAATCGTGCTGTGGGCCAAGCAGGGAATGTGGAGGACTTTTTATGCTTAGAAGATCAGCCAGTGACGAGAGCCTTGAAATCCAAGAGGTGGCCCAAGTCTGGCCCCACCTTATAAGGATGAAAGCTAATTGATCCAGTAGCTTAGACAAAACAATCTTTGTAACACTTGCATGCACACATTTTGAGAAGATCTGAGGCGTTAACAATTAACACAACACACTTCTAAGTACAAAAATAATTCAAGGCTTGAGCCTTTTAATCCACAGCCCTTGGGATCACCTTGAATGGAAGTGAATTGAGTCATTGCTGTGCTAAGTTAATTCATCCAAGCGGAGTTTTTCCGTGGCTGGATCTCTGTCAACTTTTTCAAAGTGTGCACTGTTTAGCGTGGAGATTTGCTGTTGATAGAGCCTTCCTTTATTGTTGAGATTTCAGTTCTAGAAATGTTTTAAAAAGTCTGATTTATAAATCTCCGAATTTTCCATGCTGCCTTTCACGGCTCCTCTTCTTTTGAGATCTTTCACTCAAGATCCACTACTTCACGCCAACGGGTGACATGACATATCGTTGTCTCTGCATGGGTCTATGAATGTATACGTGACCATGAGAAACAATTAAAAATTATAGCTCTCGATGCCATTTCTGCCAATAAATACCAGCGAGCAGAGGCCACAGATTCATACCAAGTAGTTTCGTCTTGAGTTGTCACAATTTCAAGTGTTCTATGCCAATGGCTCTCATCAAAATTGTCACGGTGTCATTCTTTCTGTGCTTAACTATTATTGGAGTTTTGGGCGATGAGGATCCTCTCCAGGATTTCTGCGTCGAAGATCCAAACTCCAAAGTGTTCATCAACGGAGTTCCTTGCAAAGATCCCACCACAGTCACTGCCGATGACTTCACCTCCACAATCCTTCGTCAGGCTCCAGTCACAAACAACACACTGCGAATCCAAGTCGACTTGATCGATATCACAATGTTTCCAGGCCTCAACACGCAGGGACTCTCCATTGCTCGCCTTGCATTCGGTCCATTTGGCGTGAATCCTCCGCACAACCATCCCCGAGCGTCCGAGGTCATCTGGCTCCTCCAAGGACGCCTCTATGTTGGATTTGTGTCAACTTCCAACCAGTTGTTCGCAAAGGTTTTGCATCCCGGTGATCTGTTCATCTTTCCCAGGGGACTAGTTCACTTCCAGCGAAACCTGGATAAGTCGGACTCGGTTGCGGTGGCTGCGCTTGGAAGTCAAAACCCGGGAAGAACAGACATGGCTAGAGCGTTGTTCCAGACCACTCCAGACATCATGAACGAAGTTTTGGAGGCAACTTTGCAGGTTGACGAAAATGAGATTGATGAGTTACGACGTGGAGTGAGTCGGACTTGATTCTGGACAAAAGGTTCAACTACAAAATGCTTGCAAAAAATCTCAATAAAGCTCTTAGTTCAAAGGTGCTCAGGAATCCTTAGGTCGCCGGTCCAATTCCGGCAGATTGAACTACACTTTTTCAGGCCTCTCCAAGATTTTTGTGCTGCTTCTTTGGATGGAGCATTCTAGTAGAGAAATTTTAGTAAAGCCTCTGTGGTAGTTTTGAAAATTGAGGAATGTCTTATTTTGTTATATGAATTCCTCACAGACTCTCCCAAGACAGTTGGGCCAAGGAGGGTCACGAGAGGAATGGATGCTGCTTGGGAGAAGATCAGCCAGCGAAGAGGGGCCATTAGATGGGATCCAGCGGTAAAGCCTTAAATTTCCAAGAGGATCGAGACGAAAGAGGAGCTGCTGCTGTGGAGGGGGATTGAAACCATCGCTCCAGCTCCCGACTTCAGTTAATTGATCCAGTAGCTAATAAGAATGGACAACAAAATCTGTGTAACACAACACATGCACAATCTCATAGGCAATAACAAACACATTAGGCATTAAAGGCAAGCATCATCCAGATTGCATTTTTGCATTGATGGACGTTTTTAAACAACTCAACCCTACTCTCTATGTTAAGCTGGCGCTGTCTATGTTAAGATCTGTAACTACTGTGCTAATCAGTATACGAAAGCTCAAAGGAATTTTCTGTGTCTACGGACAGCGCTGCTTCTTTGAAGCTGTGGAATCAAGTGTTCGATTGTAAAGTCCTCTTATTGCAGTTTTGGCAATTGCCAACGTTGTAGTGGAGAGCCCTGCGTCCAGGATCCCAACTCCAGAATCTTCATCAACGCAGTTCCTTGCAAGGGTGACCGCCGACGATTTCACCTCCACCATCATCCCGGGAGCCTGCAAAAACCACCAACACTCTCACATCAGGGTCCAGCTGGTCGACATCATAAGGTTCCCAGGCCTCAACACGCAAGAATCCTCCCCACGTCCATCCCCGATCATCCGAGGTCATCTATTGTCTCCAGGAACGCATCGACGCTGGGTTTGTGACGACTGCCAACAGGCTGTTCGAGAAGGTTTGATATCCCGGGGACTTGTTTATCTTTCCTCGAGGTGGTCCACTTCCAGCGGATGACCCGGTCTGCGCTCTCGCTATGGTCACTCTTGGGCCTGGTCGCTGTGGCTAGGGCTTTTTTCCAGACTCAAGAATCTGATAATCTGAACGAAGTGATCGAAGCAGCTCTCCATGATTGAAAAACTTAAGAGTGTTTGTTAAAGGTAAGAATTAGATTTAATATAAATTACTTTTTTTAAAAACTAAATCTAAAAACCCTAAATGGATATACGGCTGGAATCATACAAGAGCCCTAAAAGCAGAGGAGCTCGGCCCGCGCCTGCGATCAATGCGCGTGGCCTGCGATCAATGCCTGCGCAGCCATGGGAGTTTCTCGCAAAGCAGAAAACTCCACGAGCAGTTTGTGGAGAAAGACGCGGTGATCAAGACGGCGCTGGTAGCCATGTATGAGAAGTGTGGAGTTCTGGCCAAAGCAGCGGAGGTTTTCCTAGCTCACGACCTCCTGGAACTCGCTCCTGGAACCGTACGCAAGAGCCGGGCATCTCAGGCAAGTCCTGGAGCTTCTCCGGAGGATGGATTGGAACGGGATGATCCCGGACGCTCGACGTTCGCTCGTCAAGGGATGCCGGGAGTACTTCCGATCCATGGCTGCGGACAGATGGATAGAACACACCCCGGAGCACTACGAGTGCGTGATCGACATCCTCGCGCGGAAAGGATTCGCGAAACAGGCCAAGGAGCTGATCGAAAGCATGCCGTATGAGCCGAGGCCCGTGATGTGGAAACTGTTTTAGCGAGTGACAAAGATTTGGTCCAGGTGGTCAATGGTCAGTATTTAGGGCTTTGGGTTAATATCTGGAAGCGCGAAAAATGGTCAACGGTCATGGTTGTTTTAGGAAAGCTGTTGGTCAAGGGCGTGTGGAAGGGGAGGACAACGATGAGCGCGGCGCGACAGACAGACCTAAAGCTTTAAAGGCAATGCACATGGCACATGTATGACGGCATGCCGCATGTGACTAAATCACAATCTCGCCTTTCTTTTTCTCACGCCACATGGTGGCTGGTACGGAAGAGAGTTTGGGTTGGGGCCCATGGCCCATCTCATCTGTTTGGGGCCCATTGTAAAAAGTTGGTCTAGCTATGGTGGTGGATGTGGTGGTCTTCTATTCTTTTGCAACTCCACAAACAACAAGAACAACCAAGGCCAAAAGAATGGAAGAAATCTCACTCGTCATGTTGCGTTGGGTGTAAAGTTCTCGTGGCATGTGACAAGGCTATAAAGTTGTTTAGATTTGGTACTATCAAGTTTCCAGTTTGGTCAGTTCCCATAACTATAACCTAGTAAGTTATATTCATATCAAGCTTTGTGAAACAAAAACAAACGCCAAAAGTCCTGTGATCCTTTTGACAGGAAGGAGATCACGTTCCCTTGGCTGCGATACGTACTAGAAAACCAGTATATTTTGTTCTCGTGGGTGCGGGTAGTCGTGTTCCACCACCACCTCGGCAGCCACCAAGAATCAAGAACAAAATCAAGTAACCAGAGGAGCTGGCCGAAGAAAAGGGTGTAAAAAAGAGAAAACAAAATCTTGTGGAAGAGAACCAAGGAATGCCTCGAATGCGGGTGGCTACTTTGCCTTAAAAAACTAAACCGCAGCATCCAAGATCGGACGGGGTGGCGTAATTGCTGCCGCAGACACGGGCTGTTTGTGAGATCCCACATCCCAGCTCTCAAATCTGCTGCTGCGCTGCTGCCACCACCAAAATCCAAAATCCACCGAAAGAGAAAAGAGCGAAGAACGAGGAAAGGAGGGGGGAAAAAAAAAAAAAAACCACCCAGGGAATCCAAAGCCAGCGGCGTCGAGTCGATGGATCAGAAAGCTCAGAACTGGTCGCCGCTGTAAGTCTGCCCGTACTGCCAATTGGGCGGGGCAGCGTCGTACGACACCACCGTCCGGCCGTCGCTGGTGGTGACCTTGAAGGAGAGCGACTGGCCGCTGAGGATGGCGTTGCTCTGCCAGTTTTGGCCCCAGTTGCGCGACATTGGCAGCCAGTCGGTGTTGGAGCCCTTGATCGAAACCGAGTGGACGTCCCCGGCGCCGCCGACGTTGGTGACGAGCACCAGGTTGAAGTAGTTGTGGCCATTCATGGTGAATCGGATGCCGCCTTTCCTCTGGCATGGAACCCTGAAACGAAGAAAAGCCTGACGTAAATAAAAGCAAAGCAAAGCAGAGCAATGTGGGTGCTATGACTTTCTCTAAAGGATCTCATCTCGATGAACAGGGAAGCAAAGCAAAGCAAACAAAAGTTTCATCTAGTTACATAGAAGCAAAGCAACCAAAAGTTTGATCTAGATGGGACTGGCACATAGAAGCAAAGCAACGCAACGCAAAGCAAGCAAAAGTCTGATCCAGATGGAACTAGGACAAAGAAAACCCAACCCAAGAGCAAAGAAAAAAATGGAAAATGGGAATGTAGTGCTTGTACCTTCTGTAAAGAACAGGCACAATGCCTCCCCTGTACTTGGCGATCTGCTCGAACGCTGGCTGCGCCATGTCGAAATGCTGGAGCGGCGTGTTGCACCATCCGCCATTGTTGTTCGGGAGCGCATCGTTGGGCGGGCAGAAATTCGTGGCCGTGACGAGAACAGAGGAGCCCGGGAGGCACCACTCGGGATCACCATTGCATTTCACCTCGAAGCAAGCGCCGCAGGAGAGGCCGCTCTGGAAGAGCGCGGTGCTCAATGCCGCGGTGTTGGTGCCGTAGCCCTGGCTGTAGAGATTGCCATAGCCGCAAGCTCCTCCTGGTAGAGAGAATCCAAGACGAGGGCTCCCGTTAGAACAAGAAACCAAGATCGAGCGAAATATTTCGCAAGAAACGCGATGTCTCACCCATGGTTCCAGATGCATCGCTGCCGCCGTAGAATGTAGCATGCGCGCCGGTCCAGGAGCCGGATTCGTAGCCTCCTCCGGACGATCCGCCACCGCCGCCGCCATGGCCGCCTCCGCGATGCTGGTGATGGCCGCGCGCCACGCCGTGGTGGCCAGTCGCCGCGGCCTGGTGGAGAAATGCGATCCAAGAAACGATCGCGAGCAGCAGAGGCGCCCTGGAAGCCATGGCCTGCGATGTTTCGAGAGATTTCACACAGATTAGCCGCGGCGAGAGAGGATTATATGCGAGAATGGAGAGAAAGATACCAAATCGATCGAAGGAGGCGAGAGGGACGCGCTCGCCAAGAACGCTTGATTGATCGTGAGCTCTTTCCTGGCTTGGGGAGAATGGGCTCTTCATGGCGGGTTTATAAAGAGAGAAAATCCCTCGCATTGAGCGTGCCCGCCTGGCCAAAAGCTCTTTTGCCCGGCCAACGGTTTTGGTCGGGGAGAGCTTTTGGGCGGCGGGGCCCGCCCGTGTTTTTTGGCGGGCGGTCGTTTATAACGGGCAACCGTTTAGGGCTGGCGGGGCGAGTCGTTATCGCAACCGTCTATCAAAAGCGGAGTGACGGTCGCGATGATGGTGACGTGCGTGACGGCCCAGGCAGGGTGGCAGGCAAGTCAGGGCGATTTTACCGTGGTTGTGGTAGAAAGGTAAATAAAAGGAGCAGGGACCTTTTCCCCAGTTGTTTGTCAGCGTGGCGGTAAATGTTCCGGTAAAGTTCGTTTAGAAAAGGCTTTAAAAATGCGTGAAAGGGAAATTCGTTCGCGGGTTTCTGGCGTGGATTCGAACCCCCACCCCGCCGCAAAAGAGGAAGATATACACGTACATTGTCGCTGTACAGGCACTAGCTTTGCCGTCGAAAGCGTTGCAAAGGTCTCCTTTACTTTAATCTCCTGTCTCAAACTTGCTTGGAATCAAATATATCTTTAGGCGAAAGACTATACCAAATTTTCTTGGGGCACCACTTCTGGAGGTTTCGATGAGGTTTCTTCGATTAGGGCTGACGATTGATGACCTCTAGAGAGTTTCTGTTCTTATATTTTCTTGGCAATTTCATGGCAATGGACAAATTTTACAACCTGGATCCCACGACGTGAAATTTTGGGAGCTTATATTCTAAGTTGACGGACAAAAACATTGCGCATTAAGTCAATATGCCATGCACGTTACCCCGCCCGCCACGAAAATTTGAAAGTTTGAATTCTAGAATATGCCGCCGACAGTACGGTACCGTCTAGACTGTCGGATCGCACGTTGGACGGCCGAGATGGCGGCCCGCAGTCAACACGACGGTGACGTGGATGACACAAATAGGGAAGGGCGATGGTGATTTGATTGACATAAGCGGCTGCTTATTTGGTGGGTAAAACTAGGAGGTCCATCGAGAAATTGTCCAAATCATATGTGGCATTAATGGCCATGACCCAAACCTCCGTACGGCGCACGTAAAACTTAGAATGTAGTTAATGCGAGGAGGGCAATGAATACGCAGCGGCACGCAAGTGGTGCAAGTGGTCAGTGGAATCCGTCCGTTGATTTTAGCGTCTACGATTGCTCCTAGTTAGGTGGTCCCGGGCTCGAGTCCTTGTAGCTTAACGTCTCTTTTAATGTGGCGAGCTCGACATCCAGCCGCAGATCCAACGGCTCAGATTTCCCGCTTCCAACACGCCCTAAAAGTGGAGTTTGCCCTAGATCCAACGGCGGGAGTCTCTAGGGTTTACGAGGTGAGCGATGGCCGACAAGAAGAACAGCCGCAGCAAGAAGGAGGTCGTGACGAGGGAGTACACCATCAATCTCCACAAGCGGATCCATGGCTGGTAAGCTTCAATCGCACGCTCCATTCGATCGAATCGATTGTTTTGCCGCAGCACCTTCAAGAAGATGGCTCCCCGGGCGGTGAAGGAGATCAAGAAATTCGCGCAAAAGGCCATGGGAACCTCGGATGTGAGGGTGGATGTCAAGCTCAACAAGCACGTCTGGAGTAGAGGCATCCGCAATGTGCCGCGGAGGATTCGCGTCCGGATTGCTCGCAAGCGCAACGACGACGAGGACGCCAAGGAGGAGCTCTACAGCTACGTCACCGTGGCGGAGCTCCCGGCCGAGGGATTCCGGAAGCTCGAGACCAAGACGGTGGAGGAGGAGTGATTCTTTCTTCTCTTGCCCCAGATCCTGGAATACCAAAATTTTCCCCTCTTTAATTCTAGTGTTCTTCGTTCTCGAGCACAATGCGATCGTAGTATTAGGGTTCTTGGGTGCCATGGCGGTGGAGCAGTGATTTCTCTCTTGCGCCATTCCAGATTTTAGTTCCTACTCGAGCAATCGATATTTTGATAGAGCAATGTGATCCTGGGATTAGGGTTTTGGCTAGGGTTTTTGGGCGCCATGGCGGTGGAGCTCGCTCGTCGCTTCCCACGGCGCCTTTACAAGCTCCACGAGGTGGATCTCTCCAATCCCTTCCTCTACGCCAAGAAGAGCCCCAAGGATCTGCCGACGCAGAAGGTACTCAGCATTGTTCGCACCCATGGCCCGATTGGATCGCGCGATCTCTGGGAGCACGCCGAGAAGGAAGGGATCAAGAGCAAGACACACATGAGGCGCTTGCTCGTGTGGCTCCGCAGCAAATTCCTCGTCCACACGCAGTGCTTGCACGGCGAGAGCGCCGGCTCCAAGAATCCGGGCAAGCGCAACAAAGCGGGAGGCGGTGGTGGTGGTCACGCGGACGATCGGATTTTCAGGTGGGTTGCTGTGCCTCCTGCTCCAGATCG